TCGACCTTGATCCTCCTGGTCGATTGATTTCCTCTCCCTTCGACTCGACCTGTCTCATTGCCAATTGTTTGTTATTGCTAACTGTTGTTTGGTAGCAGCTTCTCGAAGTGAGCTGATCCCCGGCAATCTCCCCTACGTTTTCGCCCACCGGATATTTAATCGTCATGTGGTACGTGGACACGACTGCCTGGAATGCGTTCAAGCTCGTCCACCCCATGATGATGTTATAGGATGACTCAGCCCCTACCACCACGAATCTGACCATGCGCACCTTCCTCAACTCCCCTGACCCCAGCGCCACGGGCAAACTGACCTCCCCCATTGGCATAACCTCTCCTCCATTAAAGCCATACAGCGCCGTGGCTACCGGCTTCAGCTCCACATTCAGCTCCTTGTTAATCTGCACGAAACAATCATAGAACATGACATCCACCGAACTCCCGGTATCAATAAACACCCTCTTCACGTCAAAATCCGCGACCTCCGCGGTTATCACCAGAGCGTCATTGTGCGGTAAAACTACCCCCTCGGCATCCTCCGCCTTAAAACTTATTACTGGCATACGCGTTGTTATTCCCACCTCCTCTCTCTTTCTCTTCACCGCTCGCGCATGCTCCTTCCTCGATGTGTTCGAGTCACCATCTGTTGGCCCCCCAGAAATCATGTAAATCGTTCCTCTCTTCGGCGGGGCTCCTCCTCCTTGCCCTTCTCTATCTCCCTCCTTTCTCGACCTCTTTCCTCGACCATCCCCGCCATCTCCTTCTCCATCTCTATCACTCCTCTCCTCGGAATCATCTCTACATCTCCTCCTGCCTTTTCTTCTCACCCTGTCGTGATAGACAAACTCCTTCAGATATCCTGCCCGAATCAACCTCTCAATCTCATCTTCAAATGCCTGCAGTTTTCCGTAGTATGGCCGTAATCCTTGTGAAATCGACAATACAAATCCGACCGGGGCCGATGTGGACCGGTGAACCTTGTCTTCGGCCAAGTTACGTCCTCAGTCGACATCTTCTGCTCCATGGCCTCGAGCACTTCTGTCATATCATTCCTCAAAGGAGTAAAGTTGTGATACCTCTGCCTCTCGAACACCATCGACCTCCTC